AAGTCTCTCAGGGCTCCAGGCGGGCAGCATTTGAACAGAGACCCAAGGAACAGGACAGCGCCAAGCACGTGGCCCTGAGCCAGAGGCCTGGAAGCCCAGGGAACGTGACGTTTCAAGGACGAGAACGCCCTGTGTAGCTAGAGCAGCTAATGTGTGGGACCACGCTCTAGAGTCGGGCTGGAGAAGGAGCGGAACCAGCGCAGGAAGACTGCCTTCGCATGAGGAGCTCAGGGCTCTTCCCAAACGCAGAGGGAAGCCATCAGAGGCCCAGGAAAGTGACACATGAGCTGGTGACATGTCATAAAACATGTGTGCTGTGCGAAGATGAACCGCAGGGAAGAGAAGAAACCAGGTTTTATGTGGGTAATGTGAGCTGGGGTTCAGGCTTCCACGTGCTCATCGTCCACACAGCCCTGCAAGATGCGCCTGACATGCACGCTGAGATCTGCTCAATGGCTTTGCTTGTCACTACAGTTTCTCCAGCTCATCTCCAAAACAAGCTGCGCCAAAGCCCAAGGACAGGATGTGGTGTGGGCGCAGGGTGGCCACCGTCCCTTCCTCCCGTGGCCCTTCACCGTTCTGCAGTGCGCAGTGAGTCCCTGTAGACAGTGCCCGATCCCCAGCCTGCGCTCAGGGCAGCGACACGTGAGACTCGGGAGGGGCCCTTTATCCCCTTTACCTTCCAGGCACCAGTTACTGCACCTGGACTAAAAATTGCCTCTTCCCAGAGAGACATTTTCCTCCATGCTCTTTTTCTCTGTGGCTAAGAGCAAAGGGCCTCCATCATTTTGGTAAACAAATTGCTAGATGCAACCCTACTCCCATGCACACACAGCTCTCTGACAGAGAAAGGAGCTTAACAAATCTCTCTACCTCACTTCTGGCCCCACATGACACCCAGTTCTGGTTCCAAGCTACAGAGTCACAGTGGTGGAGAAAGGAGACCCAATGGCAATGGCTGACCTAACAGAGTCCCTTCCTCCTAAACACACTGTAAACATTTTCTAGGTATTATTTCTGCCTTAATGTAAGAAGCTACCTAGCATACACTTGATTGATACAAAATTTCCAAACTGTTTCCCCAGAACACAGCAATATGTGGTACTCCTACCCTTTTTAAGAAAGAATTTAGCCTACATGCAAAGCTGATTGGCTTTGATGAACAGAAGTCCCCGCGGTATCAAAATGTGGATTCCCTGTTTAGCATATCTGGGCTGAAGTCTCGACTGTCCTGCCACTCCTGGTAGATAAGCAGGTGAGGTGAACCGCTTAACTTCTCACAAGCTACATGGGGAACCTCCTTCCCTGGGTTGCTGCTGAAGACCAAAGAAGGTCATGCGTGTGAGGCCCGCAGCCCAGCCTCTGGCGCATAGTGAACACCCAGTGTTGTGAGCAAAATGAGACCTCGTGGTGGATGCAGCCGAGTGAGGCATAAGTGGTCATCCACGCCAGCCTTTGCCAATAGATGGGGAGCTATCAGATGCACACAGGCATCCTCAAGGTGACAGGAAGGGACATTAAAATTGGAAAGCATGTCAGCAGCACGTACGGGGGTCTTTAAATGGGATATCAATTCACTCTTCTCGGCCTGTAAGTAATCTGTCTTTAATGTTCTCTGTGGTATGATAGAAGCCAGTAATAATTATGTGCTGAGCGTGTTAGTGGTCCCAGCCAGAGGCGTGAGTGCTTTGTGAATGTGGCCAGTCTCAGCAGCTCCCGAGTCAGTTCCGTCATTGTGCGTCTCTGACAGTCGGAAAAGTGAAGCTGGTAGTTGGACCGTGAAGCGTTCACCTCTGGACCCGCTCACACATTCTGGTAGCTGACAGGCAGGCTGGCAGAGAGGCCACATGAGGCCCTCCACCTGTTTTGTGTAAATAAAGTCTTACTGAAACACATTCGTGCGCTAGGGAGATAGCTCTGTGGTCTGAGCACCTGCCTGGCAAGTGTAAAGACCCGGGTTCGATCCCCAGCACTGCATGTTGGGCCAGGTGCATCGTGCAGGCTTGGTGGTGCATGCCTGTAATCCCTGTGCTGGGGAGGCTGAGACAGGAGGATCACTACGAATCTGAGATGCATAGGGAGACCCTGTGTCAAGTAAAATTTTTTTTAAAAAAAAGACATTGGTGTGCATTCGTTTACACACTGCTGTGGCTGCTTCCGCACTACTGCTACAGAGCTGAGTGTTACTACAGAAGCCGCATGACCCGCAAGCCTATAAATGTTTACTATGCGACCCTTTGCAAGAGTTACCCAACCCTAGATGTCAACTTTAAGCTTCGCTGAAGACTGGGATTTGGAATTGATGGTGGGTGCCCATGGGTTCATCTCACTTGAGTCTTACAATAATCCCACGAAGCAGTAGTTTTCCTTTTTACAGTCTTGCCATTTTATAAATGAAGAAACTGGGCCTCGGAGAGGTCAGGTGACGAGACGGTAAACGTCATGCACCTGGGGATCATGTGTCTTTACCGTCATACCCTGTCACCTACCGCAACTCTAGCACAGGGTGGACGCTCAGAAACACTGGCTACATGAATGACAGTTGTAAAGGTCACTGTGCTGAAGAGTCCAGGTCCCGATTGCACTGCTGGCAGTGAGAGACTGTCCCTGCAGACGGGATGAAGTGCAGGTGGCTGGCAGGGCCTTCCGCTGTCAGCTGACAGTTACGCTGCCTGTTCTGCCCCCTCCCGGCTTAGTCAGAGGCTTCAGCTCCGCCGGCCGCCGGCCACAAGGTTTTGCATTTCCCTTAAATGCAGAGTCAGGGCCTTCGGGGCCTTTTAGTCCTGGTGATTGGTGCATTTTTAGACAAGATTAAAACTGACACCCTGGTGAGGTGGGGATCACATGGAACCTGGGCTGGCTGGATCTCGGCGGGGCAGAGCGCCTGCCTCCTCCCACGTCCGCCTCCACCGACCCCACCCCCACCCGGAGACGAGTCCTGGCCGGGAGCCAACTGCCTTTCAACAGCGGCAGACGCCAGGCTTTGGTTTTCTTTCTCTGCTTTCTACTGGTCATGTGAGGTTCAAGGTATTAATAAACTCTCACCTCGGCCTTTTAGATTTGCTCTCGGTCCAGGAGAGAAATGAGAGGTTTGGCCAATCCCCTGTGTGCCTTTGTCACTCCTCTCTTAACTGTCACATGCTGGTAGATGCAGAGCTGGACCAGAGAAGGACAGAGCGTTTGGTGTGGTCACCATCGCGGATGTGGCCTCCAGTGGAGCTTTGATTGCCTTCCTGTCTTAGCGACACTCTGTCCACTCCTGACCTTAGGTCCCCAGCACCAATCCCAGCAAACGTCACAGGCCTGTGGCGTGTCCCTCCCAGTTACGTGGAGATAGTAAAGCTAGACAGGAAAAACATTTGGGGCCTCAGGGGAGGTGGCTTGGGTTTTTTTTCAACTTAAAGTAAGTTCAGGAAATTGATTCTATATGTGGTTTGAAAGCCCCTGGAGGGCTGAGAGGGACAGAATATTTCAGCAAGCAGGGCTGTAATCTCAGGCGTTGGAATCAGGGGCACCCTGAAGAGCCCAGTGTACCTGTACATGGTCTTGGTCTCCCTTTGCCACACGGTTTTTAAAATTTCACTTTGCTACTTTCTCTCAATCTATGTTCCAGCACCCAGCACTGTGTCATAGAAGGTGATTATGGACCCAAAATAAAGTTGGGGGAAGCCTGGTCAGGCAAAATCTCTTAGAAATTTTCCTTAGGGGCAGAGACTTGGCTTAAGCCGAAACAAGGAGTCTTGGTTTTCTAAGTCTCACTTACTGAGTTAGTTTTCCTGGGTCTGGTGGTTTCTGAAGAAATGAAGTGTCTTCACTTTATGTTAACTCTTCCACTGAACGACTCTTAGAAAGCAGAGCACCGTCCACTTGCTTTCCCGTGCTGCGGACACGGCTGAGTCCTGTGAAGTGGGCTGAGCTAGATGATCTTAAGACTCTGCAGTGTGAAGTTTTCCTTCAGCAATACTTTCCAGTATAAGATGGAAAAAAAGATTGAAGAAAGAATACACCAACTCAGTTTTTGTCTTTATTACTTTTGCCGCCGCCACCGCCTCCTCCTCCTCCTCCTCCTCCTCTCCTTCTCCTTCTCCTTCTCCTTCTTCTTTTCTTCTACTTTTCTTCTTCTCTTCCTCCTCCCCCTCTTCTCCTCCTCCTCCTCCTCTTCCTCTTCCTCCTCCTTCTTTTCTTCTTCTGTAATAGGACTTAACAAACAAACCAACCTTTATGTAATACTTACTTTGAAGTGCATTCTTTCACTTAAGGCCTACAGCAACTTTGGGAACTCTAGGTGTTATCAGTAGGTATGAAGAAACTGGAACCCCAAGAACGTAGGTGCCTTGCCCATGTAGTGGAGCTCATAAATGGTCACAGTAGGGCTTGCTCAAGCCACAGGATTCTAGTTCTAAGCCACAGTAACAGCGCCGCCTCCAGTAGAGCAGGTATACGTGTTGTGCATCCCTAAAGCTCTCCTTCCTTGACTTGTGCTTTTCTGCTGAGGGTCATGAGAGATTCTAACAGGCGCATTTGTGCACATTTGCCTGAGCAGAAGACGCTGGGGAAAGAATTACTACCTCTTGAGAAATGCACACAGTTGCCGAACAGGAGCTTTAGGGGGCTGGAGAATGGTGGGTGGTAGAGGGAGGATGTTCCAGGGCCGTCAGAACAGTTGCCATCGTGAGATGATTCTGCAGAATTCAGATGCTCACGGGTCACGGGAGGCTTGCCAAAGTAGGCAAGTAGAATGGATTAACCCTAACTGAAGCCAAAACTCAACATTTTAAAAGAAAAAAAAAGCAATTAAAAATTCAGCCCAATTCCCAGGTTTTGGGTTACCCCTGTTTGTCTTTCACTTTGAGCATCTGCTTTGGACTGTCTGGTGGCCCTGCCTGCCATTTATCTCTCTCTGTCAGCCTGTATCTACGTGTCTTGTGACTCAAAGGGAAGATTACAGGAGAAAAATATCTCTGTATTCTAAGCTTGGCAACATCTATTTTTATCCACAGCTGTTGGAGCTGATAGCAAAGTCACAGCTCACATCCCTGAGTGGCATCGCCCAAAAGAACTTCATGAACATTTTGGAAAAAGTGGTACTGAAAGGTGAGCTTCCTCATGCACTCGCACCCTTTAGATAGGCAGGGGGATGTGCACATGGCTTTTCTGATGGAGCAGACATTGTCATGAGTTTAACGTAATGGAGTGGATTGAAATGCATCACCCCGGCTGCACGTCAGGGGTGCCAGGGTCCAAGCCCGACAGTCCATTCCTGGGGCAAAGAATGAAACCACCCAGCTCCTGTTTTAGATCATCCTCTTGTCTGCTGCAAGCCTGCTGGGTCTTGGTGAGGGCACACAGCCCACCCCTGGATGTTGAAGCTGCTGCTTGCTAGAAAACTGTACTGTTTGCAAGGCAGAGCGGATACACAAACTGGGCTGTTGAGAAACTCAGATCACTGCACACACAGGGCAAGTGACTTGTCCACAGTCACACAGAGCCCAGCCTGAGCTCCTAGCCCAGCCACGCGCTTTCTCCCACCACCAACTGAGAGCTCTCGCTGCTGAGCAGGAGCCGCAGCTCTCCGATCAGGTGAGCCTGGGCGCAGGCAGCACAGTGGGAACAGATAGGTGCTTTATGGAAACCCGGGGAGAAGAGAACAAAGAGGGACCTAGATAGTGGAAACCCTACCCAGCAGCCTCGAGTGCAGACGCCTGGCCAAGTGTGGAATAAACACCGGTGAGAAAAGAAACCTGAGCCCCGCAGCCAGTGCCTGGGCAACAGGAGCAGATGGGGAAGAAGAGCCCTTAGATAATACAGAGTGCCAGGATCATAACTTTCATGTTTTTTCTTTCCCACTCAGTTCTTGAAGACCAGCAGAACATCCGTCTGATCAGAGAACTGTTGCAGACCCTCTACACCTCCTTATGTACACTGGTCCAGAGGGTCGGCAAGTCGGTGCTGGTGGGCAACATTAATATGTGGGTGTATCGCATGGAGACGATCCTGCACTGGCAGCAGCAGCTCAGCAACATCCAGATCACCAGGGTGAGCAGGAAGGTACCTCCTCCCAGCCGCTGGGCCTCCGCCCCGAGGCTCCCCGCCACCCCGCGATGGCTGATGGTGGGGTCTGCTCTGTTCCGATCTCGTGCTTTGCCATGGTGCTGAGGGTCCGCTGGGGAGGCTACCTGACAGAGGAAGGGCAGGAAGAAGAACTTGACAAATGGGGATCAAAGTATGTAAAAGGTGACAGCCAGCTGAAACATCGTGGCAGTGTGAGAAACTAGCTCTGGGGAGGTCCCCTTGGGGCTTCAGTGGCATCGAGAGAGCTCTGCCTGTTTCCTCATCAAGCAGGAGTTGTTGGCAGCTCTGGGAAGCTGCCTCGGATGCAGTGGAGTTGTAAAGCGGTGACTCGGAGAACGGGTACTTGGGAAACTTGGGCAGACTCCTCGAATTCTAGTTCCCGTGACTGGTCCTGGGTGAGGAAGCCCTTGACTGCAGGCTGTGCGCATGCACGTAGGAAAATGGCGAGCACTTAGCAAGCAGAGGAAGAAGGCCTTGTGTCACCAGCAAAATGTGGCCACATGTACTAGTACTTTCTCTTGGCTTTCAAAATATAACTCAGCCTCCTTCCCCCTCAGTTCTTGTCCTCTTACTAGTGAGTAGGAAAACTAAGGCATATAAACACCAAAAAAAAAAGAACATGTGCAGAAGATGCTGGGATACTCCCTTAGGGCTCACTCATGGACAGATGCACTTGGAGGACTCTGGTCACACATCACTCGCTTATCTAATCACTTGCTATGGCTGTGTGGCTGGCTTCCGGGACCCAGCTCGATAAAGCTTAGGCCTGCACCCTGTCAGGAGAAGGTGGCAATCGGAAACCTCCCTGGCCTCTGCTCAGTAGCTTTACTCACACTGAACTTTTCTGGGCCTTGATTCCTTATGCTCTGAAACAGTGGGAATAATTAGAAGCACTGGAGCTCCGTGGCTTCCTTTGAGTCCGTTGGGCAGTAACACCAGATCACATACACCCACGTGCACACACGCGCACACACACATGCATGTGGAACAGCATAAATTCTGGTCACCTTTTAGAAACCATCTCACTTATTTAGGAGAATGTACCTCTTATTAACAGTAACCTGATCTTGTTTAGTTGAATCCAAGGAGCGGGTGTTCCGGTTTAATAATTTACCTTACACCCATCTCTCAGGTATAGACCTAGTTTGACAGTATGAATTTGAGACCAAATTTCCACTCTTCTGGCTCACAAAAAGCCCACTTGTCTCTTCTGCTGGCTTCCAGCCTTCTCTGTGACCTCTGTTTAATATTTCCTCTCCTAAGTCCAGGAGGGGATTACCCGTCATTGACACAATGGGCAGGGCCTGTTTGTCCCTGGGACATCTGCACTGCTGCAGCTTCGGGGCACCCATTCAGATGGTTACACTTGCCAGCGCTTGCCCTGTGTCCTCTCCCACCCCATAAGAGCTCTCCTTGGCCAGGAGCACCAGCACACCTTGTGCTTCCACGGGCAGATGTCCTCTCAGCCCTTCCTGGCTGGTCCCCAGACATCCTTGGCAGGTAGCCTTTGTTCTTACTGTCACTCTTTATGAATGGGACTGGATGGAAAGAGAGAAGTCACTGATTTCCCAGCAGCTGAGACTAGAACTGAGGTAGGGGCGTGACCCCTCATTCCTAAAATTATAGAGGTTGCTTAACCTTAGTGGTTTCCAAACCTTGCTCGCTCCTGTCCAGCCTTCAGCTGTTCAGCCAGTGATCCACCTTTCTAGAAAACCTTTTTAATCCAGTGAAATCCTCTTCAGAAGAGCCCAAATGCTGAAGTCATGTGCTCCCTGCTTCTGCTCGAGGTGTTGCAGCGTACCCAGCTGCCCTCTGCACACCACAAGGGCAGGCCTCAGAGCCTGCAGCCGCCTGGCCTTCCTTGCCTGTCCAGTCTGTGAAAGCTACTATCACTATCACTTCCTCAGGTTCTGGGATTGCAATCATCTCACACATCTCTACTTCTCTGTCACCACCCACTGATTTATAAAGTCCGCAAATAAGGGATAATATCCTCGCCTCCCCTGTACATGGCATAGAACAGGAGGCAATTAGTGAATTTGAGCTGAGTGAATGCTGTCTCACCTGCCTGCTTGCCCAAGTGCTTACTCAGTGTTCTAAGGAAAACACTTGAAAAGTATCGCCCTGGATTATGGATGGCCAACTGTAGATTATTCAGTCTCTCCATGCCTCACTTTGGAAAACAGGGACAATGACAACCTGGTGTTAATCTGTAGAAAACAGTAGAACAGTGGCTGGCACATTGTAGTTTCTGTAAATGTGTTGAAATTTGTTTTGTTTTGTCATGGGGGAGTTGTTTTTCAGTGCTGGGGATTGAACCCAGAACCTCACTCATGCCAGACAAGGGCTCTGCCACTGAGCTACCTCCCCAACCCACAAGCGTTTCTGTTATCAAGTGCTTGCTTTGCACATGCGCGCCTTTAAGACCTTTGTATATAGTAATGAACCCATCTAGTGAATAACTGTAAGTAAGTCTAATCTCCAAAATGGACCGGGCACTGTGCTGAGTATTCGCATGTGCTCCCCTCAGCAACACTGTGAGATACGCGTTTCCTTGTTTTATAACTGAGAAGTTAGACCAAGTAGCTCATACAGTCGTCCTCAGTAGTGTCTGCCGAGGACTGACTGCGGGACCCTCAGAGGCCAGCCTACGCCCATCCTTCCATATACTTTAAGTCACCTCTGGATCACGCATAGTATTCACTACAACCTAAATGCTACGTCAACGCTGCTATGCTGTATCGTGTATGGGATAATGACAAAACCTGCCAGAACATGTTCAGTACAGATTTGACCTTTTTAGAATACTTTCTATCCACGGTTGCTTGAATCCGAGGGCCCAGTGTAATGTTTCATCCAGGGCCTCAACACCAGCTGGACTAGCACGGGTTGAACCAGGCCTGTCCACAGAGGCTGTGGTTTTAGCTGCTGCTTCCTCCTCCCTGCTGTCCTGGCCCCAGCCCCGCTGGACTCCGGGCTGTGTTATTTTGAGAGCTGCGCTGGAGCCCACAGAGCCCTGAAGAGCTTGATCACATCAGAGCCCAGCTCTGCAGAGGAGAGAGTGAAGATTTAATTACTTCAGCCTGAACTGTATTTGCAGACGTACTTTTGAAGTCTGGCCTAAAGGAAAGGCTGGTAGTCCATGGAAACAGTAAGGTGGCTTTCATGCTAAGTATTCTGTATGTGCCAGAGTTCTGCCAGGATATTCTCAGCACATACTCTTGTTTTCTTTCAAAATTTTCATATCTCATTCTCTGGAACTGATTTTTATTGGCAAATGTAATTCAGATAATAAAGAATAAAGGAAAAAATTAACAGCACTGGTTTGTAGAGGGGAAAAGCAAATATAATTATGGTGCTGTGGGCAAGGCATTGTTTTGAAGTGCGGAGGCAGGGTAGACATGGGGATTTGGGCCAACTATTTGACTGGAAGAGCAAGTGTGACGTATTTTTGTTTCATATGTTTATATTCAAAAAGAAGAACGCATGCAAGCAGTTAACTGTTTATCAGGAGTAAGGGCTTGGCATGGGGTCTGGGTAAGGACTTTGGGAAAGTGTAGGTTTGAAAGTTTGACAGAATTGAACTCTTCCAAGAGGACTTGCCTTTAATAGGAGTTAATGTAATAATTGGCCTGGGAGCTTTAACCAAAAAAGTAGAGGCTTTGAAGTGCTAGAAACAAAAAGAAAACCTCATGGCAGTTTTATGAGTTCATATGATCAGCAGCAGATGACAAATGACAGATGGGCCTCGGCTCTTTGCAGCCCTGCAAAGTCTTGAGTGCTGCAGCGGTTGAAAGCACAGCCTTGCGGCGCGGGGTAGGAGTGAGTGAGGTGCACATCCAAGTCACGGGCGATTCCGACGGACAGGGGGCCAGAGTCGCTCCAGGTCTCAGGTGGCTAAGCTGGAAGGGTCTTTAGTCTCCTACAGCCGGTCATGCTGGATCTCGGGAAACTGAGGCCCCCGTCTTCCCCCAATGCTTGGGACCCATATCTGCTGTGTCATCATGCCTCCCATGTCACCTCAGTCCCTCTCAATAGTCCCTTCTCTGTCCCCTTGCTTCTGCCTGCCATCCTACTATTTGTCAGACCTTCCTGGCAGGAGGGGGAGGGGGAGGGAAAGAGGAAAAGGGAAAGCCCCAGGGTCTCTCCCCTGAGCTAAGGGAAGGGCTTGCACCCTACATTCTTTTTTTTTCCCCCCCTGTGAGCTCTTGGAGGTGACAGATCAGTGAGTTAAAAATGTCAGTCCAAAATTTAGAACCCAGGCCAGGGAAATAGCTCAGTAGAATAAGTGCAAGGTCCTGAGTTCAATCCCTGGTACTGAAAAAAAAAAAAAAAATTGAGAGCCCACCCAAAGTAGCAGGAGAAGGACAAGGCTCTACAGCCCCCAGGAGTCATTGTCACCTTATCTTCATACAGATAGAATGGGCTGCTCCAGACAAGTCAGCAGCCGCTACTGCGGACCTCTGCTGTGCAGTTGTCCTGTGGCTCTTGTGTGGGCCTCGGGGATTAGATGGAACGAGTGGTGCTGGAACGGCTTTTTTATGTCTGTAGGACTGGCCAGTCTAAAGAGCTCATTGCTGCAGCTCCTCAGTAGGATTTGGCCAGTGGGCTCTGGGCAGGCCCAGACACACACAGATATGCACACACGTACAGCACACATGCAGAAAGACACAGCACCGGATCTTTGTGTTGCTCTTTTTTGTCTTTCTCATTATTTGGGTTTCATTCATTCCTCTCAGTTCATATTTATTGAGTCCATATTATGTCCCCAGTACTCTTCCAGAAATTGGGAACGCAGCAGTGGGATGAAGTAACAGCTCCTGCCTTCATGGACCTGAAGTTCCAGCAGCAGTGTTTCTTTTAGAAATGGGTTGTATTGCTTAAAAAGGGGGATAGTACAAAGGGTCTAAAGGGGGCTGCTAGGAGTTCCAGGAAAGTGCAGTGAACGGGCCTAGGAGAATTGCAAAGGCAGAGGGGCTCTTGAGAGGAATGGGTTTGCACGAGGTCCAAGGGACAGGAGAGAGGACCAGCAGCTGTGTGTGTGCGTGCGCGTGTGTGTGTGCATGTGTGTGTGTGTGTGTACACACACACAGGTGTACCGGGCATATTACAGCATTGGAGAGTAAACCCAGATGGAAGGATCTCAGGTCATGGGGACAGCGAGGTGGGAGGCCAGGGCGCAGCTGGACATGCAGTACAGTGAGGGAAGCCTGCAGGAAGGCGTCAGCGCTTGTAACTGAGCATCGCACTGAGATGAAGCGCAGGACTCCGTGAGTGCCGTTTGCAGAACTTACTTAAGTAAAAGGCTCTGTGGTTCTTAATGAAAATCTTAGGCACCATTCAGGGCATGTGCCACACCGTGCTGACCTCTGAGTCTTGGCAGTGGGACATGGTTCTGTGTGTAGGCTGGGGAGGGTCACCGCTTTGGCCTCTGGTCAATAAGCCAGCTTGAGGGGTGAAGGAAGGCCCTTTGCAGGTGTCACCTGTAGCCACGACCCTCACAAGCTGTCCTCTCTCCACAGCCTGCCTTTAAAGGCCTCACTTTCACTGACCTGCCTCTTTGCCTACAACTGAACATCATGCAGAGGCTGAGCGACGGGCGTGACCTGGTCAGCTTGGGCCAGGTGGCCCCAGCCCTGCATGTGCTCAGCGAGGACCGCCTGCTGTGGAAGAACCTGTGCCAGTACCACTTCTCTGAGCGGCAGGTCAGTGGGCCCCGCCACGCCCCTTGCTCCTCCTCCTTCCCCGCCCCACTGCCCAGGCATCCTCCTCGGCCTGCCTGCTGGCTACATGCCTGAAAGGGACGGTCTGAGAGTGATGGCAAACCTTGCAGAGCTTTCAGTGATGGGAACCCCCAGCCGCAGCACACACGTTGTGCGTTCACCACACTGGCCTCAAGAGTTTCTAAATGGAGGAGTGAGGTGGTTTCCTACTTTCAAATAGTTGGGGTTTTTTTTGTTTTGTTTTGTTTTTTAGTGTATTTAGTACAAGGTCTACAAGGTCTCGCTATGTAGAGCAGACTTGTGATCCTTCCGTTTTCAGCCTCCCAAGCGCTGGGATTCCAGGCATGCACCACCACGCCCAGTCTCAGTCACTGTCTCAGCGCGCCCTCGAACCGGGTCCCTGCAGGCACTTTAGTCCCCTGAGCTATCAAGCCAGCCCTTCAGATAGTTTTGATTGAAGAAAAATCTTGCATTCTTAACCTAATCACTTTTTATAACTCAAAAAATTCATGAGTAGGTGTGCATTGTTTCTTTCTAAAAAAAATAACAATGTACATTTTTATGGTACTTTATGGTTCAAGTGCTTTTACAGACATTATTTCATTATATTCCCATAACCCAGGGAAGGACAGGTATTGTGCTGCCCACTTTAAACAGAGGAAGAGACTAAGGCAACCACTCACCGGTGAAATAGGTATCCACATTAGTCAAGGAGTGCCAGGTGAGATAGCAGGTGCCAAGCTTACATCTGGTCCTTCAGCCACTCTTTGTCATTTCCTTTGTCACGGGACAAAACAGTTGACATGCACAACTTAGATGAGGAGAGGCTTATTTTGGGTCACACTTACAGCCTGTGCTTTGCTGGCCCAAGGCAGAGTATGCACGGTAGCAGGGGCTGGCGGAGGAAAGGCTACCAGGAGGCAGAGAAGGGAGATGTACCTTCAGGTCACACCTAGTGGCCCATCCCAGTGACCAGAGCCCTTGTCCTCATAGCACACTCAACACAAACTCAACAGTGAATGGGTCCACTAAGGAGCGCAGCACAGTTGAGACCCTGTCCCTTTCCACAGCCCCACCCCTAAGCACAGGAGGCTGGGGTGGGGCCCGTTCAGCTCTAAACCATAACAGACACCAGCTCAAGAGTTGCTCCCTTCTGACGTGATGCCCTGGTTTGTTTTTCCAGTTTCCTTATCCAGGCATGTGAATTCAGTAGGTTCTGCTCCTGAAGCAACGAGTATTTAAATAGACAGTAGAGACACTGTCAGGCGGTGCTGTAGTCTCTCTGGAAATAGTCACTCAACTCTACAGCAAAGAGAAGACTAAAGTGGTTAATGGAGATGATCTAAACTTTAGGGAAACATCCAAGACAGTCTAATAGAGGCCACTAGTAAGATGTCACCAGGCACCTACTTAACGGCTGTCTACAAGCTGTCATGTACTTGGGCAGGGTTGGGAGAACACTCCTGTGGATAGTGGCAGTTTTCCTCCCAGGCTATTGTAGAGAATTTGGAAGGAGGGGGCAGGGGGGATAAACCTTTTCCGAATCCAGAAAACACACACCATCTCCTTGATAAATTCTCCTGCAATTATTTTTATTCATTTTAATTTTTTTTAATTTTTTTTTAATTTTATTTATTTATTTGTGTGTGTGTGTGTGTGTGTGTGTGTGTGTGTGTGGCCAGCTCAGCCCACCAGGGGGCGGGGCTGGCTGGCATGTGGTGCTGGGGGATTGAACCGTGGTCCCTGGGCTTTGCTAAGCTTGTTCCAAGTAGGTGCTCTAGACCACTGAGCCATCTCACCAGCCCCTCATTTTAATTTTTAGATCCGCAAGCGATTAATTTTGTCAGATAAAGGGCAGCTCGATTGGAAGAAGATGTATTTTAAGCTTATCCGATGTTACCCGAGGAAAGAGCAATATGGAGACACCCTCCAGCTTTGCAAACATTGTCACATTCTCTCCTGGAAGGTATGTTTCTCAGGTGACTACATGTTTCAGGGGTCCCTAGACCAGTCCCCAGGAGTTGCAGTGCCAGCAGTAGGAGGCCAAAGCCTTTCCTCTCTCCTCTCATCTCAGCCCCAGGTCTAGGAGAGGGTGAGATTGCTTCAGTACCTGAGCAAGGGGAGGAACCCTGGAAGACCTCTCTTCCCTTTTGTTCTATAGTCCTTCACCCTGGATACTCGAGCTCTGTGTGCACAAGTGAAAGATATGCTGGCAAACACAGGGAGTTTTTCCATGCAGTAGTGTGCTTGATGGAGAATTGTTGCACTGAAGTTGGGCAATGCTTTATGTCACCAAAATTGAATGCGACGCCTGCTCAAACTCGAACCTGACCAGAATGTTCCTTTCCAGGGCACTGACCACCCGTGCACAGCCAACAACCCAGAGAGCTGCTCCATTTCACTTTCACCCCAGGACTTTATCAACTTGTTCAAGTTCTGATCCCAGCACATGATGCCGCTTCCCAAGGGCCCTGCTGATTGGACGGTTAGGAGCTAGGAGCATGGACACTCATTTGTAAATAGTGTACATTCTAGACATTGGCTTGCAACTTCTGGGATTCGTCACTGAGAGGATGCTGGAGGGGAGCAGTGCATTTGCCAATGGGAATTTAAGAACGTGAATTTCACAAGTGGTATGGAAAAGCAGAAATACTGTAAATAAACTTTTTTCCTAACAGTTTACCAGAAAGACTATAAGAGCAAGAATTCTGTGTCAACCTTGAAAATGGAATTCTTTCGATGGTGGTGGAAACTCCTTTACAGTTGTTCCCTAGGAAGAAATAGGCAAAACTCAACATGCAAGGTAGAATGTTCTCCGTTTACGATGTGAAAATTGGTTTAGACAAAAAGCAAGGAGGAAAGAAGGAAGGAAGGAAGGAAGGAAGAAAACTGACTACATGTGAGAAATCCTTTGGGCTTTTGGTTTTGATTCAGTGTGTTTTGAAAAGGCAAGAAATCCTACGCAGCTGAAGCACACAGCATAAGGCCTTATCCTATGAAGATACCACACAATGGTCTACCTCTAAAAGCATAGAGTGCTCTCTCTGACAACGTGCATTACCCAGTAGGCGGTGTCTGTGTTTCCTGTAAATTTTTTTTAATCACTATAAAAAGTGATTTAAAATGAAAAGGTTATTGGAAACGATCCTCATCTTGTTCCAGGCTTCCTTTTTAGGTGTTTAGAGTTTGATCCTTCTCTACAACAATCTGCGAGCACATGTGCCTTTTTTTTTTCCTTTCAAGTTGAAGCTCATTTGGAAAAATAGAAGGCTAATTAAGAACCGTTCCAGGGAAATTCATGCTGCAGGAAACAGAGTAGGCACCTCACAGAAACGAAGACTTCCTTCTTGTGGCTTTCCGGGCTGCTGCGGGTATCTTCACGACTAAAGCAGCATCTTGTGAATTAACTGGAGCCCAGTGCTGAGGCCAGTGAGACAGGCTTTCCCTCCTGACCAAGAGAACATTTTGCCAGCCACTGTGGCCCTCTGCAGGGTGAAGAATTTTAAGTCCAACATCAAAATTGAGTCAACGTGAGCTAGGGGCTTTTGCAAGGGTGTCAGACAGTGAAGTCTGCAGTTCCAGCCACGTGGGTAAATGAGTTCATCTTAAAACTTGCTTCAGGGCTAGAGTTAAGGAAAGAGTTAAACATGCAGATGCCAGGGAATCTTGTAAGGCAGATATTAGCGGGTCAGCTGTGGAAGAAAGGAAATCTCAGGACTTGAGTTAATTGTCAGCTATGCCTGGAAGAGGGTGGGGAATGTTTTTGTGTTTTTATACTTTTTATAGAATGTTGCTTTTCTACAACAATGTACATATATTTGCAGTTGTATTTGGTTTATGTCCCCAAATAAAGTTTCCACCCTGTGTGCCCTTGGCAAGTAAGTGAAGCAGAAAGAGGAACTAGGTTTGCATTTAGGTTGAGGAAGAGTATAACCGTCAGTAAGCACTGATCCTTGGAAGGAAGGAAAACTGGCCGGGCATGTGCAGGAGCAGGAAGGGACAGCTGGCAGCCCACACACTCCATGTCCTTCAGTACTGTAACAACCACAGAAGACGGGCTTCTCGGAGTCCCTTGCTTTGCGGGGCTTATGCAAGATTTCCCAGTATTTCTTTCATTACCATCCCCCTGAGGAGAAAAAAGCCAAACTGAATTTAAATTGTCCCTAATGAGAAAAACAAAATGTGAAAAATAATTTTATTGAACAAGGTTGAGTTTGGAAGGCCATGAACTGTCACAGCGAAGGAATTTTGGGCTTTGTTTGGGTTTTTCTCCTCTGAATCAATTTTATGTTGAGAATTCAGGGCCTAGGCAAATAAAAAACTACTTCTCCCATAATTTTTAGGTTTTCTCAAATACTTCCTCCTTCAAGATAAGTGACAGCTGTGTGTGCTATTGCTGTGGAAAGCTCTGAGAAGCGTTTACTTTCAGGGATTCACGGCTTATCTCTTCTTCCCTCCAACGTCTGGCCTCTGCTCCACTGTGCCAGTCAAGGAGTGGGATGTCCTCCCAGTCACACCTTTGGGTTTGCAGTCGCAGAAGCCTTGCCCTCTGTGGACTCTCAAGACAAAACCACTGGCCAAATCATCTCTGGGTGGAGCAGTGCACACAGCTTGTGTCACACACCCCGACCCGCAACAGCCTGCATCTTTGCAAAATGGCCCCCACCCCAAGGGGAGCAGGTCTAGCTTTCTAAAATATCTACCAAGACAGTGCCTAGGGGCTCTCCCCATGTTCTTGGGTATTACTGGACGTGATATGGGAAAGAGTCAAGGAGATTTTTCTAAGGATAAAAAAGAAACTAACATGTGTAGGTCTCCTTCACTGGAAGAGGAGCACAAGGAAGAAAATGGCAGGTGGAGAGGGAGCGGGGGTAGAAAGAGATGGCATCTCTGACGCTGTGGTTTGGGTGGGAACAGTGGGAAACAGCAGGCAGAGTATGTATGTCTAGCTGTGTGGTCTCGGTTAGACATGGCCAGAGCCTGGTGTGGGAACATATGGAAGCACAGTGAGAGCAGCGCCCTTGGTCCCAGGACACTCACAGTTGACTGAGTTCTTCCTTGCCAACCATCCAGGACAGCCTGGCCTAAACAAAAACAAAGAAGCCCTGTCTCAGAATTGCTGGTGTAAAAGCAAGCCAGGCCATGACTGGAAACTGCTGGGAGAGGTAGAATCCCATACTCTTTACTGTGCCTCCCTGCCCCTATCCTACACTCTGTAAAGCAGAATTAAAAATCGGTGTCCATTGTTCAGGAATTCAGACTTCCAGGAAAGACAGGGTTCTGAGCCAGCTGTGCGGGCAGATCCACAGGGACGCTGGGATGTGGCCGAACTCAAGCGTTCTTCAGAAGTAAGCATGAAATCTCATGAGACAAATGCTCAGCATTTGTGGAGAGGAGAATATATAAGAGGAGAAGAGCTCATTTTATGGCAAGATCCAGCAGGAAAACTCCAGTGAGTTTTTAAATGAGATTAATTATTCAATGCTGTTAGTCTGAGCAGGTGAATCAGCTGCATGGATTATTAAAAAGGAACAAAAGTTACAAGGTCAGAGATCCGCAGTGGTGAGATATTTGGTGGTGATGATCAATTTCATATCGAAGTGACTTGAAGGAGTTAGGTGTAGAAGGCTCAGGTTTGCACGGCAAAAATCGCAACACAAGTAGATTCTACTCGGTGCTATGAAGTAAGGTACTGGGTATTGCCACAGCAAGTACTGAGGGTCACAAACCCTTTCCCACAAGGAGCTTACAATCAACACAGGGTCCTTGCATCTGTTTTTACATAGGAGAACAGAAAGAGCTTGGAATTTCTTTTGTCTAAGCAAGTTGTCAGATTTACAAGGAATTTAAATCATTGCAAGAGATGTTCAACAGCGTATCTGTCTCAGCATTCAATACAGTGTTTATTATAAGCACCTGAGTTTATATTTTTTTTCTTCTAGGCTATAGGGTAATAATTTCTTGCTGTGCAAACACTATTTTATGTGTGAAATTTTTAATTGTAATTTTATGTGTGCATTTTTAAACTAAACTCTACCATCATTTTCTCTGTTGACATCTGTTAGGGTTTTTTAAATCTGTTTCCAACTATTTGTGTCTGTGAACCATCTCTTCTGACTGGAGCTGCTTGAAGTGCTGTTAGCACTTAAACAGACCTCAGAAATCCCCTGAACCTCTAGGCAGAGGCAGACAGACTGCGCTTGGATATGTCCCGGGCCCCTGATGTTCCAACAAACAAGGCCATAACTGCTTTAAACTTGATTTGGAGGAGGTAGATATGTTCTTCTCAGTCTTGGTAGGAGGATAAACTTCGGTGGTTTTCCAAGGGAGAGCATCTCCCACCCAGAGTGTGGATGCAGAAGAGCGGTTAGCGGCGACAGAATCTGGCACTCGTACCTTTCGAGCAGATGAGCAAGTGCGGCTCGAAGGTTTAGAGACCACTGCTGGCACCGGGAGGCAGAGTGGATGGAGCACAGGCGTCTTGAGACCTGATCTGTGTGTCACTCGTCCCCGAGGACTTGTGGCAAGGCTGGGGCCGAGCCGCGCCCGTGCGGCTCTTCTCGGGACCTTCACTGCGTGGCGCACCGCCCCGTGGCGATCTGCCTCCAAGTCTTCCCGGCCTTAAGCCCCTGATTTCCTAGAGTCAGGGAAGCACTCCGCGTTCTATAGATCTCTGACTGCTGAGTCCAACATTCTAGTGAGTACAGCTTTGTTTGCTGAAGTACGTAGCCTATTTTGACAAATTCATCATTCCCCTGGGTACTTACATTTTGATCACAAAAATTGCCGTTATTTAAAAAGAGCTACACGGTGGCTCGTTTTCTAAAAACCGAGGTTCTGATGATAACCAAGCAGACATTTCCTCTCTGCCTAGACTAAGAGTACACGGCGTCCATCTAGCCCGTCCCCCCCGCTGGCACCACCTCAGCTGTGGACGCTGCAGTGGGTTCACTCTGCTAAGCCCGTCTTCACTAAGTCGTGAGTTCATCCCACGCGGTGGCACTGTGACTGTCTGCTGCGTTTCTCCATGTCCTTGACCTCAGCCAGCCTCTCCCAACTTAAGCCCTACTCCACTGGCCAAAACATAGATGGCTACTCCAAAGCTCTGAACTTGTTGAAGCTCTACCTGCTGCAACGTTACTGGTGGAGCTTGGATGACTTTTCTTATCTTAGAGTATAGCTGTCTGTGTTTAGTTAGTGATGCCCAAGTCTGTTTAACAGAAAGCTCCAATCCCTGCTCTAAGCTTAAGAACCTTTGGTACCCCTTTTATCCTAGCAACTGCCCATCACCCTGGCTAAAGGGCGTGTATATTGTAGTCTATGTCCTAAGCTTAGAAGCTTTAATGTACTTTTTAATGAGAAACACTACAGGGTTCAACATTGTAACTAAAAGTATAAAATTAGATCAATTACGTGCAAAGATGTGTGTTGGAATATCGTGTGAGCTCAGTCCTGTATAAATTACTTGCACACTTTTCTTGCATGATGAACTGATTTTTACAGTTGTTTGTACCAGACAGTGGCATATTTTTGTAAAAAATTTTTGACACTGAATTGCAATAAATGTTTTTCCAACAACAACACTGCTGTGTTTTTGGTGTGTGTCAGTTTAAGTCAGCTTTCTATCATAATGAATATGTTCATCTTGGCCTGTTGAGAGTTCTCTTCCTTCTCTCAAACTTGTTACCATTATGGTATCATAAAATTCCTGTGGATAAATAGAAAATCAGCTTGTTCTAGCCACAGCAGCATTATACTAAAATGGGCTATTTCTGTGTACTGTTTGTATCGTACAATGACCAAGATAAAGAATTTTGTAGTCAGTGCAAATCTAGTGTCGTTTTCTGATGGAGAATGAAGAGCAGAAGTGAAGTTGTCAACTCAGTCACCCACCGGTGAGAAACAGGAAATCACAGCCTGTTTATAAATCAGCAGGCATTTATAGAACACCTACTATGTGCTAGAATTGTGCAAAGCACTGGAAACAACAGGTTGATATGTGAGACAGAAATGGTCCCTGCCTTAATGGAATTTAAATTCCAGTCAGAGCCCAAAATGCAGGTGAATAATTTGTAATAAATCTTGTGAAGGGAATAAGCAAGAGGCTGCAGTACAAAATATAGGGGGAACCAGCTTGAGGAAGGCTGTGTGAACCTACTGTGAGGGTGGCGTTGAAGGTGTGAGGCAAGGGTCCAGCCTCAGAGGAGATAGGGCAAGAACATTCCAGAAAAAGGAAACGGTTGGTACAAGGTTCAAATCACCATCCTACTCCTTGCCTGCAGGATGCCCTTGGCTGCCGTAGCCCTCTCTGTCTTGTCTCCGTGTCGGTACTGGTTGTGAGGGTCGAATGCACTGACCCAGGTAAAGTCTGGTAGCGATGATGCTGCTGTTCCCTGGGAGTCAGGACGCGCACTGTCCTCAACTGGCTGTGATTTCCTGTTTCTCACCTGTGGGTGACTGAGTTGCCACTTCACTTTTGGTGTTCATTCTCCATCAGCAAACGACACTAGAGGTACGTGAGAGCACTACGTGAGCTCTCTGAGCTCAGTGGCCAGCTTGATGAGGGCCCTTAGAGAGGAGGAGGGAAACAGAATGGCTGCAGAGGTGGAGAGAGTGGACCTGCGGCCAGGGAGTGAGCGGTATCTACAGGTGGGGAAGGAGGATTTCCCCTACAGCCCACAGAAGGAAACAGCTCTGCTGTGGCCTTGACATTAGCTCAGTGAGGTCAGTGGCAGATCTGACCTTTGAAACTAAAGTAATGCTCAGTGTTGCTTTAAGCCCTAAATGTGTGGTCATGTTTCCACAGTAACAGGAAACTACCAGCCACTCTGGCCAGCCCACACCACAAGGTTTTTCCTATCTGT